GCCCCCAAGAAGCTCCTAAACCAGGCCATCTTGGACCCCTACTTGAACCTCTCGTACATGAGCTAGGTTTGAACCCTTGGTTTCAGGGCAAATTCAGCATCGACTATGGCTTGAAGGGGGACTCCTGACAACCTTTTTTCTCTTTCAACAATAAGCAACGGGAATTCCCCTCCCATTGTGGAACTACCCTCCGCCCAAGTCTCATATTTTTTTTCACCACCCACCCACCCACCCACCCACCCACCCACCCACGCACCCACCCACGCACCCCACCCACCCACCCCACCCACCCACCCCACCCACCCATCCACCCTCAACACAATCAACTCCCAACCCTCATCGCCTGCTCCTCACCAGGGCCCTCAAGCAAGCAAATCCGGCACGTGAGCTTGTTGATTTGCAGGGCCCTGGGCGCGAATCGATCTTAACCCAGTCCCCACTAAACCTGCCTTTAGGACCAAAGGGCAAAAGAAGAATAGCCGAAACGGCTGAGGCGCAAAAATTGGGGCCCCCTACACATGACTCTCTCCGAATTCTACATGACACCACTTGGTAGCTTTGAAAGGAACCGTGTCCGAGCCAGCGGTTGAGGCATCTCCTCATCATGATTGTGTTTCCAACATAACCAATGTAAAAAGCACGCTTTCCCTCCAGTTTCCAAATTGGTTTGAGAAGGTTATGTTGAAACTCGTTGCGCATCCGCATCATGTTCATTCATCGTCTACTGATGATTGATTCTCGGTGTTAGGATTTGTCTATGCATTCATTCCTTTATTTTCCCAAATGTTTTGTTGGAACTCAATGCCATGAGCTGTTCCTTCTGTCGAATTGCACAGGTGGCTTTCTCTTTTGAACCTTTCTCAGCAGACTTGCCATGCTAACCGATCACCCGTGGCCCGAGGCTGGGGCTCGTTATCGGCGCTAGGCTCCACCTCGGGAGGAGTCTATGCGTTGGCGCAAGAGATACGCCGTTCGACATATTGCAAGTAAACCAACCAGGCTCAACCACCAAATGGTAAATTTTACATTTTTCTTTTGGGGGGGGATGCCTTTGTTCCCCCACTTGCAATATTTGGGGCATCCACCGGTTCAGTGGAACGTGCAGAAGCCAATAAAAATGCCCGTTGGATCCCATCCCTCAGCGCTTGCAGACGTAGCCCTCTGGCATGGATTTATGAGAAACCAGCCATTTGAAAGGGCGTATGGCTTTGTAGTTCCACATGAGCTGCAGTCAAAGCGACTCAACACTCGCCCACATTCAAAAAGCACGAGACCCTCATTGTGGTGAGAGTTCAAATGGATACCTCATATGATTCCTCGTGTGCGTGATAGTCAAAATCATGAAATGCACCAAGGTCGTAATTCCCTTTGGTTGTGTTCCATTCAATGACACCCTGTTTAGGGTCCAAAAGCGGCCTCCCCAAAACGCCCAGGTTTCCCATGGCAAAGTTTCGCCATGACGGGAGAATCCTGTCCTTGCCAAGGCCTGTGAATCCATGGCGCGGGGCCTTCATGGACAGCTGAACATCCGTGTCAACATCTCCCTTTTGTGTCAAATGCTTACAGGCCAACTCCCCAAAACCCGCAGGTCTCCCAAGGGTTTCAAACCCCAGAGCTGGGCCCCACACTGCGCAGCAAATGAGCCCGGTGTCGTCCAGCCTGTGAAGGCCCAAAGCTCTAGCTGGGAAATTCTCAAAACAGTTCCCTCTGGCTGTGGGTCAAAAATGGGTACCCAAAATGGAACCCTGGTAAATGGAACCCATGACTAAAACAGGCAACCCCCTGGTGGTTTAATTTTGACCCACACCCATTTTGGCTTCCCTTTCAATGCCAACCAAAAACGGGGTCTAAATTGCGAAACACTGATTTGGGTGTGGGCTCGGTACCCTGTTCAGCTTGATCTAGGCGGAAACCAAAAGGATAGCCCTTCCATTTTGCAAGCAGACACACAGACACGCAGACACACAGATTTCCCTCTTCCCTCTCATTTTTTTTTTGGGGGGGGGGTCTGAAACTTTTTGGGGATCCATCGTCGCCTCCAATCGAGCTGCAAAGATCATCACCACATATAGACCTCACCCCTGGGTAAATCAGCTCCTTTAGAGCCTTAGGTGTCGGACGTCCGACCCCGGCAATTTCTGAGTCTGCAGGAGACCTCTTGATCAAAAGGTCCTTAAGGTGGGATGACCATTGGGAAAAACCACTAAAAAGAAGATCTTTCCCTAAGTGGGAAAAGTTACATGTGGTCATTTGGGGGCCGAAGGGAATCTTGATCAACCCCCGAATCTTTGAGCTACGTGAAATACAGTTCGCCCTCAAGATTCCCCGGCTTTGGGGCCTGAAAATCCCATCGAAGAAAACGGCAGCATCGGGTAACGCCAAGCAACCCCTTGCTCAAACGGGGTAGAGACCTCCAAGTGGAGATTTCTGCAAAATGGGTGAGAAACTTAAAAGGAGCCTCGAAGAAAACTAACCAAATTGAAACGAGCCTTACAAGCTTCCACACACGCAGCCACATCCCAGAAACACAACAAGCACTGGATTCGAACAAGCACAACGCGGGCGTGACTTCACCCAATCGACTCTCGACCGCCGTTTTCATCCCGTGCGAGGCTGAACGGCCAGCATCTCGGCGATCGGGATCAGCCACACTGTGAAGGACACATCCTACTTCCGGCAAATTCTCGCGGACGCACCGTCCAGCACCCCTCTTGCCCTGGCCTCACAACCAACTTGCGCCCTGAAAGGGAGCGCTCTCAGCTTGCTTCTTCAAAGCCAACCTGAGGTCCCCGGAACATCTCAGAAGCCAGGGCGGTCTTGTCTTGCAGGGCGCCTTCAGCGGGTGCAGCTTTTTGGCACAGACCCAGCAGGTTTCTTTTTTTGGCCATAAGACTTGCTCAAATGAACAGGAAACCCTGCAAGACATCCTCTTTACAGGAAACTCCTGGGCTTTTGGCTCCAGGAACATGGGGACAGGGTTCGCGAACCTGGCCATTGCCACGAGGACGGTATGTCGACCATTTGGAGAGGGCTCCTAAAGCTTTGAGACCTCAGTCCAAAAATGATGCTTGCTGTTTGATTAGGAGAATCCTTCTTAAACCAGGTGATAGTTCTGCTTTTCGTCTCAGCAAGCTGGAATTGCCAAACAAGAACAGCTGGCTGCTCAACATGGGTTTCAACCGCACGCATGTTTCTTTGGCGCAACAAGGGCATATACTCTGATTGCACAGCCAGCAGATTAATCAATTGTGTATCCACTCCTCCTGGAACCTGGGAGGCTACCCTGCCGGTATCAGCACATTTTCGGCCAAAGGAGAGGATGGCTCTCGACAAAAGCTGGGTCCTTCACCCTAGGGTTCAACCCCCAATAAACAAATGGTTTACCCAATTTAGTTGCTGAAACTCGCCAGGTAGACAATGGTGGTTTCTTTGTATTCCCATTCTTTTCATTCTTTTCATTTTGGTTTGAAGCCCACAAGCAAAAGTGGTCCGGACTGGGCGCCCAAATGCTTGGAATCGGGGTCTTCCTTCAGCCCATTTCTTGCCAGTCACCCCAAAGCAGGGGGAGCATGGCACATGTCCTGAGATCAGGTGAGAAGCGGAAGGGACGAAGCGTGCCAAACTTGGCAGCTGCCGGCGCGGAGTACAGTTTCGTGTGCTTCGCACTCGTCCACCTGGCAAAGCAATCGTCATGCGATGTCACGTTTCGATCGGCCAAGCGCAACAGGAAAGCAACGGAGGGGGGCAAATTGGGCAACTTGTCATTAGTCACCGACCAAAACTAAGACACCCCCAAGCCCCCTAGTCTAGTGGCGTCGCTATAATCTGCCCAAATGTCAATTGTTTTGAAGGGCAAGCAACTGCCCACCTTCAAGAGTCGATCGACTGCAGCTTTCATTGGGGGCCCAGCCAAACCCACGAACATGTCTGCTGACCCAACGCATTTCGGTATGACTCCGCTCAGAACCCCAAAACGGGTCAGTTCTTTTTGGCTTCCCCTCCTATCCCACAGGTATGTGCTAAATGTTGGCTTCAATTAAACCAACCCAGAAAGGTCACCTTTCGCCTACGATCCCATTCAGCTGCCCAGTCCGACCGATCCACTGGTGCCCGCACCTCACCGGAATGAAGGTCAGAAGGGCGCAGCCGTGATCCGAGCTGCTCGTAGGTACCGCCAATCCGCGTCCTCGGATTCTTGGAGGCTCCGTGAAAGAATGCTTGCAGGCTGCCTGCAGGGCCTTGCAGAGTTTAGGAGGCGAGAGATGCGAAACAAAAAAACAAAAAACAAGGACAAGGAGTTCATGCAGGCCCGCAGTTCCCCTCGCCACGCCGCAAAACGGGCGACTTAATTCATGGCGCGTTGAGGACTTAATTCTCAGGACATTCTCTGCCACTTGGGATCTCTCGTTCTAGCCTTTAGTCTTCAAAGGATCAACGGCCCCAGGAGAACGTCACAAGACAAAACCCGGATTCTCCCACGCCAACTCGTACGGGGCTTTAGAGACACCAAAGCCGCGTATTTGGTCGGGAACCCACCCCAGCAGTCAGCAAGGCCCAGCGCAGGCCTCTCGGGTCTTTTTTTGCAAATGGCAAGGTCCGCAATCCCAAGGCGAGCAAACGATCTCGTGATGCTCGCTGGCAGCGCGGCAGCACAATTAAAGCTAGTCCTCATGGTCTCGGGAATGGGATCGATTTCTCGAGATGCTGAGGGTCTGCTGCAGTCAGGGCACGCAAACCGCCTGTGCATCTTCAACGAGCAGGCCCAGAAACAATGCAAACAAACGATGGGCCATCTTTCTGGAGTGGTCTGACTGCAGCCGGATCTATCTGGAAAAAAGTGTTTCGTGAATCAAAAGTTGCAAGCACCAAGCGCTTGCTATGCCAACTGTTTCGGCAGGACCGCTTCCGCTTACGCCAGGCCATCGGGGAAGAGGTCGGTGAGGCCTTCGTCGCTGGCCACCTCCTGCTCCGCCTCCTTGATCTCGGTCTGGTTCACCGGCTCAAGGCGCTGGTCGCTGGGGGACTCGTAGGGAGAGTTGGGGTCGTACTTGACGCCATCGGAGAACCTCGTGGAAAACCAGAAAACACGGGGGGCGCCTGGGCGCCCCCACTTGGACTTGCCAAAAGTTGGGGCGCTTTCGCCCACGAAAAACAAGTATCGGGACTTCCCCAGAGCAGGGGTCCCTTTAAGCACCAGGCAAGCCCAGGCATGCACATTGACAAACCCCCAAACCATCATGAAACAATGGGGGTAAATATAACCACCATGGTATACCTACGGAGGTTCATCATCCAAACTGGGTCAATCATTCTTTTAATGGGGGGTTGAACCCAAGGAAACCGCAGCGAAGGAGCGTGATGTTTCCGATCATGCACCACGCCCCGTGGCAGCTGGAGCAATGCTTCTCGTTCAGGGCGCAGTAGTCGGTGGCCGCAGCGATCCCAGTGAAAGGGAAGGCACTGTTGCAAGGGTCCTTCTTGTCCTACGGGCTTGGGTGACCCAAGATGCGAAAAGACGTCTTGTCGCACAGCAGTCGACCCAGAAAATGGGCAGCTTCGGCAAACAGACCAAACCGCACGTTGCGAGCCCGCAACCAAGATGATAAAACTTTTGATCGAGCAACATGGCCCAAACCAAAAAGGAGTGACTGTCCGTCCAGGGGAGCCCTTCTCTGTCAAGAATCAATCTGCATCTGTTCAACCTCAGCTGGCTCTCGGTCGTTTCAAGCTTCAACCATTGTGCCTTAGCTCTCCTCGTTTTGGATCTTCGGTTTGTGTTTCCCCAGATAGCTGAAAGCTATAGGGGTTCTAACTTTTAATAACGAGGGGAAAGTGATTTGTGAAATTGATGGGCTGGTGCTAGGGGACGTGCAAGTAGGGGTGCTGGTGTAGGTGCTGATTGGGGGGCTGTTTGAGGTGCTGCTGGCAGTGCGGGCACATCTTTTCCAGATCGACGGTAGGCTGCTAGGGGGCATGCAGTTTGGGGTGCTGGTGCAGGTGCTTCTGTTGGGGGTGACGGTGGGCGCGCATTTTTGCATCTTGACAGTACCGTCACCCTGAAGAGCACCCCAAACAGCACCCCCCCAAGCACCCAGCCGTCAATCTCGCGAAAATGAAACAGCACCCCAAACAGCATCCCAAAACACCACCTGCACCAGCACCCCAAGCTGCATGCGCCCTTGCAGCCTACCGTCAAGATGCAAATTGCGCCTGCGCCGTTACCTGCATGCCCGATGGCACCCGAGCGTCAATATCGCAAAAATGCGCCCGCTCCGTCACCAGCACCTCAAACAGCTCCCCAAACCGCATCCCAAAACATTTTTGCGAGATTGACGGCAGGGTGCAGGGGGCATGCAGTTTGGGGTGCTGGTGCAAGTGCTGTTTTGGGGTGCTGTTGGAGGTGCTAGTGACGGCGCAGGCGCAATTTTTGCTCGATTGACTCCGGACGTGCTGGTGTGCAATCATTGCTATTTGGGGTCTATGCCGGCGCAATATCTTAAACAAACCACTGACAAACAACAAACAACAAACAAAGCATAAGCAAACCAAACCAACCAAGCAGACAGCCAAATAACCGATAGACCAACAAGCAAACAAACAAACAATTTAAACACAAAAAACACACAAACAAAGCAAGACAAACAGGCAAAACAAAAGAAACAAACAAAGCAAAACAAAGGCTCTCGAAAGCAAAACTACTAAGCACAAAGAGAAAAAATGCCACGTCCTTGAAGGCCTTCACGCATCGGGGTCCGTGGCACCAGGTGCCGCCACAGCCACCGCACTTGCTCTTGGTGGAGCCTTGGTTTCGTCACATGTGCAAAGTGGCTGACATAAAGCGGCTGCGTCGTTGCAATTTCGGAAGCGAGTTTGCGCTGCCGGGGATTTGTGCCAGCTTGCTTCTAGCTGGTGAAAGGACCGGGAGCTGGGTGTGGCTCAAACCCTGCTACATGGAAAAATAGACTGAAACCTGCGGTCCCTCACCGACGTGAGTTTGTCTCGAACTACTGGGTGTCCGTTTGTTTCCAACCACCATCCAAAAAGCGTACCTCCACAAAAGACCCACGCGTCAAAACTACCAGTTGGTAGGTGGTTTATCCCAGCAATGGGTTTTATCCCTGACACACGGAAAGGTAGATGGTTTATGACCAGCGCTACGTGCTCAAAAAGCCCACCGAGAACAGGGTCCCCCTCTGGTGGCTGGTGTCATGCCCCTTCCTTTCCAGAGATGGATCTGAATACGTGATATCTTTCGAGCATAATCCAACATTCCTACTGAGAGCAACTCAAATATCGAAAGATGTTCGCCTTGTTCGCTTGATAGGACCAAGAGAGCCAAAAACCCAAAGCTCATTCCAGATCGGCAAAGTAAGTCAAAAGCCGACATCAAAAGGGTCTACCCAAACCACCTAGTTTGGGTCGGGACTATCAATGTCCCACACTAACCTTCACTCGCCCGATTGCTTGTGGCTCGACAAATGCATATTTTTATATGATGTC